GCTGTATAATGTCTAAAATTACAGGTAATAATTAAAGTTTTTTTTTCTGAAACATGAAAACAAATAGTGAATAAACCACTCAATAAGGACTGCAGTGTTTTTGTTTTGTTTTGTTTTGTTTTTTTTTTCTGGACTAATTTGGTCAGGTTCAGTACGTAACTACTGCAATAACAAATCAATGAAATCGTTTCACTGGATGTCTGTAACCAGGGCAGACATTGCTTAGGAGGTAAATGTGAATGTCAGAAGTGGATGGAATCTAATCCATGCATAGAAAACAATACTATATAAATAAAAGAATATAAATATACTCAAATCATTATTTATTTATTTATTTATTTGTTTGTTTGTTTTGGCAAATTTATGTATTTAAATAATAGGAAAAACATTTTAGGTGTCTGATTTGTGCAAATCCTTATATTTTAAACGGATGAAAAAAAGACAAATGTTTTTTTTTTATCTGATTTGTAAATTGACCTSAAACTTGTTCTTAACATCCTGACACGGTTTAACTGGATTACAGCTCAGTGCCAAGTTGGGGTCGGGACCCCCCCCAACGTGTGTGTGTTACCAAGCAGGGGGGTCCTGAGACGACCTCCAGGAATCAAACGAGATTTTAAAACTAAATTTTAATTGCATATTTCTTTTCTTTTCTTTTCTTTGATGAAGAAAAGAAAAGTGGTAAAAAAAAACGACGAGGTCAAGTTCGTTGTGTTCTCAGTGTGACGTTATTTACAATGTTTGTTTCGGTATTTTGGGGTGAAATTGTGTGTGTGCGCGCGCGTGCGCGTGCACGGGGCGCTTCCTGTTGGTGGGAACGCGACACTTCCAGCCGGATCACCACCTCAGTGTGTTTCTGTTCAACATATTCAGCGTCGCTCAGTTTGTCGCTTTTTGTCATTCAGAGCGCGAGGCTGAAGAGCTGCGCGTCGGAATAATGACGTGCTGTTGGTTGAGCGCGCGCGCGAGGCCTTCAATCAAGGAAGCAGGGATCAGCGGCCTTCCGAGGCGCGCGCACGTGTCAGAAACACATGAATAAAATGAAAGGGATTCAAACGAACTGATCTAGTTCATTTTTTATGACCTCACAGCTACAACACAAATACAGTGATCTTTATAAAATGATTAATAATAGCTTTAATCTCATTGTGCACGAGTGTGGTGAGAATAAATTCAGTTCAAGAGATGAAAAGTATAAACTGAGTGCAGTTTTTTTTTGTAAAAAACCCCACTGTGTTTCTGATATGTTTCTGTCAAAAGTCAGAATATGACCCAGTTTATACTGGAGGAATGGTGTTAAAAACATGCRTAAATAAAGCTGTGTTCATACTCACTGCAACCAATATTTGAGTTAGGATTAAAGCAAGTCAATGGTTAGGATGGTATTTTACATTATTATAGTATTATTTTGAATTCATGTGTTCACATGAAACTTTAATCCGTGATTTTCTTTTTACAGTTTTGACAAGCTAATAACCCCTCCAGCAGGAAAACCTGTTTATTTGTGCAGAGAAAAGCAAAGTTACACCAACATAATATTGTTCCTCCTTTAGGCGACCAAYGAAAACGTTCATATTTTAATGTCTGCACCAGGGCCCATTTTTTTAAAATCACATAAGAGGATCCTCTCATTCAGCTCAACCCTTGAACTCAATATCCTCCTGCCTATCGATGCATACGTAAGATCACAGTAAATTACCTCCTGCTCTGCCCAGAATAATGCTCCACACTGCACACACTTTGCCTCTTCTCGTACCCAATTATTCCAGGAGACA